GGGTGGGAATAAGGGCGGCATTTGAGGTAATCCAGCACAGAGAAATGTTTGGAGTTATATAGACCTGGGTTCCTATCCAGGCTCTGGTGTTAACAGTCTGAGTGACTTAATTTAATATCTCTGAGATTTAGTCTTACCTGTAAAAAGTGGATGACAGTAAGGTCATGTATATTGCTATCTAGTATTCTACCCAGCAGTGGCATACCAAGCTGGGGGAGTAGTGCAGACTTGTAAGGGGGGGTGTGGTCTGTAAAGAATTTAAAAGCAGTAAGAAAACCACCTAAGTGTCCATCTGCTTTTTATCATCATTATGCACCTGCAGGTCTAAGCAGTATCAGTGATAAAATGCATCTCCTTGCCTCCTTTTCCTCCTGTATACTATGCTGCCTAGCAATTATAGGAATTTATAATAAATAGTAATTATAATCAATCTTTAATCAAGTTAAGCAGGTAGTAAGAGGTTGGAATTTGGAACTTGAGTGCGATTTGGGACTTTTGTTGCAGGTTCGTTCTCTGTGCAGTTTGTTTCTTCCTTATTCCTGGTATGCAAAGCTCACGTAAAAGTAGAGACATGTCCAGGGTTCCAGGGAACCAGCCACACAGAGGTCTGTTCCTCTCTCGGAGCCATCTGTAAATAGCCACTCCTCTCTATTTCTTTAAAGTTTGAGGTTTTCTTCCTTCTTTTTTACCTACTATTTAATTCTGATATGTCATAGGCATATTTTCTTCCACTGTATTCTTCAACTTAATCCTAGATCACGTACCTCATCTAAGCCAGCCTTATTTATCAAGGCCAAAACAAATCCTCTTAAACATCCCATGCCTTATATAAATTAGCTTCCCAAACACATATTCTAACTTATAGAGCCCTTTATTAATGCTTTTTGTAGATAGTTACTTTGTATTTTTATAGAATCTGATTCGGACTTTGTCTCTAAACTTTCTCCAACTTACCTGTCTCTGAGCTGCTTTTTACTTTGTAAAAATGAGTCATAAGTATCATGTTTGTCTGCTGTGGCCTGTCTTCTGTACTTTGGATGGGCTACTGATTTGAGGACAAATATAATAATCCTGGAAGCATTCATGCACTTTTCAGACAGTGCTTAAGAGCCCGAGCCCTTGAGTTAAAATGCTTCCTGCTACCACTGCTTAGCTGTGCTACATTAGCCATGTCCAACGTGTGGGTGTGTGTTGGTTTGGTTTATACTAACTACCAAGCAACTCTCCAATACCAGCTGGTTCCCTACAGTTTAACTCATTTCTAATACTGTCTACCTGGAGATAGTATCAGATCACTCTGGTTAGGAGCTCAGTCCTTAACGGCTGGACCACCAAGGAAGTCAAAAGCTCAGTCCTGTAAACAACCCTGCTGCCCTTCAGCCCCAGCAGCTACTTCAGACACCAGTTGCAAATCCAGGTTGTCACCTGTGCTTTTGACTAATTGTCGATTAGAAGTTCCAAGGGGCTTCCCGGGTGGCTCAGACAGGAAAGAGTCTGCCTGCAGTGAAGGAGGCCCGGGTTCGATCCCTGGGTCAGGAAGATCCCTTCGAGAAGGAAATGGCAGTCCACTCCAGTATTCTTGCCTGGAGAGTTCCATGGATAGAGGAACCTGGCAGTCCACAGGGTCGCAGAGTCAGACACGACTGAGCGACTAACATGTCAGAAGTTCCAAACCCCTTTTCCTTGGTTTCAATTAATTTGCTAAAGTGACTCACAGAACTCAGAGAAACATTTTACTCACTAGATTACTGGTTTATTATAAAACGGTATAATTCAGAAAACAGCCAGATAAGAGAGGTGCAGAGGGCAAGGTCCATGGAGTGGGATGCACAGCTTCGACTTCCTCTCCTGGCATGCCACTCCCCCCAGACCTCCATGCGTCCCAACACAGACGCTCTCTGAGCCCTGTCCTTTTGGGTATCCCATTACACTGGCTGGCTGATTAAATCTTCATCCATTGGTATCAGTTCAGCCTCCAGCCCCTTCCCCCTCCCTGGCGGTCAGGGAGGTGGGACTGAAAGTTCCAACCCTCCAGTCATATGTTTGGTTCTCCGGCTGACCAGCCTGCACCCTTAGGTGCTTCCCAAAAATCTCTTCATTAACAGAAACTCAGGTGTTAGTTAAAAGAGGTTTGTTATGGATATCACGATATTTTTATTACTTTTATTACTTAGAAAATTCCAAGGGGTTTTAGGACTTCTGTGCCAGACAGAAGGATCAAGACTATATCTTTCTGACATACAATAAATACATATAAATTACAGAATCGCAGCAGTTTACCTAACCTCTCTGAGTATTGGGTTTTCTTGTGGGTTTTTTGGCTGGGGGGAGGGGAGAGTTGTTTCTTTGTTTTGTTTTGTTTTGTTTTTTCCTTTTTTTTGGTCACACTGCTCAGCTTGCAGATTCTTAGTTCCCTGAACAGGGACCAAACCCACACCCCCTGTGTTGGAAGTACAGAATTTTAACCACTGGACCTCCAGGGAAGTTTTTCTTATCCATGAAATAAGTAGTTACCTGTTTCTTAAACAAGATAATGGATGTAGAATGCTGTAAAATTTCTAAGGCTGCCGTAACAAATTACCATAAACTTAGTGGCTTAAAACAACACAAACGTATTATATTCTAATTCTGTAGGTCGGAAGTCTGACCTGGGTCTCACAAGCCTAATGTCTTGATAGGGCTTTGTTCCTTCTGGAGGCTGTAGAGTAGAATCTGTTTTCTTGCACTTCCCAGTTTCTAGCATTTCTTGGTTAGAAGAAACCCTCCATCTTCAGAACCAGCAGTTGTCAGTCAAGGCCGTTTCACACTTACATCTCTCTCCTCTCTGCAGCCAGGAAAGGTTCTCTGATTTTAAGGACTCCTGTGATTGTATTGGGCTACCCTGGATAAAGATAATCTCCCTATCGCAAGGATTTTAACCTTAACCACATCCGTAGAGTCCCTTTGCCATCTACCGTAATGTATTCGTGGATTTCAGAAGACCAGGACATTGACATTTGTAAGAGGGCCGTTGTTCTGCCCACCACAGTTGCAAGGTACTATGCCTAGCTCTTTGTAAGCCCCTGGTAAGTGATGAACATTGAAAGCCCTCAGCACTCTGGGAAACTGCAAGCTGAAGATGTAACCCCTGGGCACAAGTAATTTAAAGCCTGGTGGGAAAATGAGAGGGGTGAGGACAGAAATGAATCTGATTCAGGAAGAGTGACCAGAGCCGTGTATGGGATTTCAACCTAGTGCCATGGGAAAGTGAGAGGCCGCAGGTCAGCCAGTGGTCTGGCAAGTTGGACAGAGTGAATGTGTTAATAATGTATTGAAGTGCAGAACCTACAAAGACATGAGGTTCAACTCACATGAGAATTTTTATAGGACACGGGGTGAGAGGGAAGGAAAAGGCAGAGGAAAAGCCTCTGCTGACGAGAGAGTCAGGGGTTTGTTCATGTCTCTCAAGTCTTCCCACAAGCCCCACTGGACCCACTTGTTCACTGTGCAGCAGATACGTGCTGAGCACTGTTCCTGGCCTCGGCGATACAGTGAGCGTGGTCACAGAGGCCACTCACCCCGACTCAGTCTGGTGAAACAGACAACCATGTCAACACAGAGCGGTGATACAGCCTGACAGTAGGGGCCCACAGGAAGGGTGTGCCTCCTTCCCAGGTTTACGGGGTGGGAACGGCTTCCTGAGGGAAATGCCCACGAACTGAGACCTGAAGAATGAGTTGGTCAGGATGCTCTGAGCCACAGGTAACAGCCCAGCACATTGGTGACCTTAAACCAGTGAGCAGACTGGCTCCTGACTGGAGCCCAGGAGTTGGGTAGGCATCAGGGTGGGTGACTCTGGTCATTCTGGCTCCATCTTTCTGTGATTCCTTTGGCTGGGCTTTCCTCTCCATGTTTATTTCACTGTCAGGCTGGCCAGCCTCATGGTCACAGTTCTCAGAGTCACATCAGGACACTCAGCATCCACAGGAAGAAAGGTGTCCCTTTTGTAGACTCTTTTCTGAAAATGAGAAAACTTCTTTTCTACACGCTCTCAACTCCTGGCCCCCTTGCATCCAGTTGGGATTACAGGCTCATTTCTGAGCCAGTCCCTATGTCTGGGTGAATGCCATGTCCAATTTGGCTTAGATCTAAGTTCCTGAACCCACCATTGTGGAAAGGACAATGAACTTACACTTCCTGAAATACATGGTCTTATTTTGGGCTGGACAGATGATGAAATGAAAATCAAGATCCCATTAGGAATGAAGGAAAGAAGAACAGAATGTAGGAATGGAAGTGACTTTTTCTCTTCTTCTCCCATGTAAGACTTGTTTCTGCTACTTCATACCTTCTGCTTTTCATGGTTTCTGTTTCCTCATAATTCTAGCTTGCCATGACTTCTCTCTGTGAATGCTCTCAACTTCAGCATTTGTCATTAAGTGCCTCACTTCTCCATGTTTCTCAATTCACACCCCTGTGCTTAATTTACCTTACTTTACACGTACTTGAAGTAAGCTCCAGAAGACCAGGGACTTTGTTATACCCCCAGCATCTGAGCAGTACCTGGCATGCAGTGAGTGCTGGATAAATATGTACCAGATGAATGCAAGATCAAGCTTCTAGCTAACTGGCTGCCTTTCAGTCAGTTGGGCTCCTCTGTCCAGATTTTCTGTGGCTGAGGGGCTGTCCCTGGTAGCGACTGTTAATAGATACCCCTCTAGTGCTAGGAGCAGAAATTTGTTTGGATACACTTCCACTATTACCTGAACTTCGGTTTACTTTTCTGCAAAATACAATCAATAGAATCTTCCTTTTGTGGCTCAGAGGGGTTCAGTATCAAGTGGAATTATGCGTATGAAAGTGCCTTATATATTGTGAACCACAAGGTGGTTTGATTCAGTCCTGGTCACATACACCTAGAAAACACTGATGATGGAAAGGCTATTTTATCTGTTCACTTCCACTTCTTGACATTGAGTTCTCCAGGAGAGCTTCTAATTGGCTCCCTTCTTGTCCCCCAGGGTCACTCAGGATGTGTCAACTGTCTGGAGTGGAACGAGAAAGGAGAGTAAGTATGAGATCCGGCACCTACGGGTGCTGGAGAAGGATGTGGAGAGGTTGGGAGGAGGGGGTTTTCCTTCCTCTTTGTAGATCTAAGGACACGAGTGGCCCCAAAAGAGGAGTTGGGTCCTCTGCTCTCTGCTGTGTTGCTGTTCTCTGCTGTGTCCTTAAGTTTCATTCATCATCAGCAGCATAAAGTTAAATAATAAATCCCAGATAGATGGAAGGTTGGATGACCTTCCAGACTCTGTTTTTTTGATAAGCTAATGCATTTAAGGAACAATGAGAAATCCTCAGAACAAAATAAAAGAGAATCAATCACTGTTTATAAGATAACCTTATATTCTGTGACACTTACTGTTGTTCTTAAAGTTGTGTGTGGCCTAAGTCCTTTTCACCTGGGACACACAGGATAGCGGAACTTGAGGAGAGGTCAAAACTGTTCCCTGTCTCTGCTTGCAGCTTGCTGGCCTCTGGTTCTGACGACCAGCACACGATTGTGTGGGACCCGCTGCACCACAAGAAGCTGCTTTCCATGCACACAGGACACACTGCAAATATCTTTTCTGTCAAGGTGAGCAAGGGAGGCCGCAGAGCAGACGAACCGTGTGACTGGGTTGTGTGTGTGGTCGTGTTTGCATGTGTGTCTCCCACCTACTCTGGGGGTCACAGACGTCTTTGTGATCTGAGCATCTGCTGGTGATTTCTAAACCTCTCTGTCTCTTTTCCATGCGCTAATTCCTCTCTCAGAGCCAAGAGGTCAGCTCCAAATGAATGTATACACATGTGAATGGTGATGATATAAGGTATGGTTCTGAGTATGAACTTTGATAGCGTAGCAGGCAGACCCGTGTTTGACTCCCTTATTTGCCTCTTGGAAGCTGTGTGAACTGGGCAAATTGCCTGACCTCTCTGAGCCTATTTACCCATCTATAAAAAGGAAGTAGCTAAGGAAAATCCCTCAAATTCATGAGTAAATAACTTAACTAAAAAGGGAAGTAACAATCCACAGGGTTGGTGTTACAGTTTAAGGAGATGGTTGATTAAAAAAAAGCACCTGGCACAGGTGATTGTAGGAAATGAGTCTGCTGTTTGTTGGTGGAGGGGAGTTGAGGAGAGGGGAGGGAGGGGACTTAAAAATGTCTTCAGATTTCTGAAAGTGAAAATGTCCAACTTTTTGCGACCCCATGAACTGTATAGTCCACCAGCCCCCTCTGTCCATGGGATTCTCCAAACAAGGATACTGGAATGGGTAGCCATTCCCGTCTCCAGGGGATCTTCCCGACCCAGGGATCGAACCTGGGTCTTCCACCTTGCGGGCAGATTCTTTATGGTCTGAGCCACTGGTAAGGCCTCTCTTCAGACCTTGGGAGACCTGTTATGTGAAAGTAACGTGAGGCTTGACCCTTTTTGTTCCAAAGAACAGACCTTGGATTAGTGACTATGAGTTTTCCAGAAGCAGATGTAGGCCTGATGAAGGAAAGAACTGTCTAATGCTTAGAGGTATTTGAAAAAGGCAAAATGGGCCTTCTGAGGATGTAGTCAGTATCCCAGCACTGAGGTATTCCTCACTGGGAACTTAAAGGAAATGACCTTTAAGGACGTTTCCAGTTCTGAAATTCTATAATGGTGTATGTGAGAGTGAAGCTGTCCTTTGGAAAGCCTCACTAATCCAAGAAATCTTTTCCTGATTAATATCAAGAAGCCTGAAGAGGAAGACAGATTCAAGAGCTCGAAACCAACTTATTTCCCTAATCAGAACTTCTTTCCCAGCTCTGACTCTCATCTGCTGTTCCAAGGACCAAGCCTAGATTAATTTCTGTGATTTTTAATGACTGAGAAATGCTGATTCACCTCTTACATGATGACCAGAAACTGCTTTCGTCCCCTGAAAAGTGTTAGGTCTAGGTTAAATCTGCGGGGTCAGATGAGGAGAAGGGACCTAAGCTGTCAGTTTGGCATCATAGAACACAAAATGTCGAGTTCAGAGACCAGAATTGGACAGTGGCCTTGATATTTCCTAATACTAAGACCTTGGGCAAGACCCTCAGTCTCCTCTTGTATTATAAAAGGGTTCCTCTCCCTTCTGGTGATAAACCACAGATGTACTTAACCCACGAGCTCCCCCTCGTGGCATCTGTAATGCAGGACGAGTAGGGCAGCAGCCACAAGCTCTTCCCGAGGGCTCTTCTTTTTCTGATGCAAGTGGGGTGATGTTGTTTCCAGACAGGATTAAAGATTACTAGTTGTCCCTAAAAATGATCAAGTTCCATCTTTCATCTAGCCCTTATACTGGTGAGCTATCAGAGAAGTGGATGTGGAAAGAGTGAATTTTTAGCTCAAGCCAGGTGGAACTTTAGTATTTTTAGACTTTTAGTCTTAATCAAAATTATGTTTGTGGCTGTTTTGTCCTTGCCATATGTGATCTGGACCATTTTGTTCTCAGCTTCATTGGAATGATAGGGTTCTCCTTCTGAATGATGGCCACATAGAGCTGTAGCCTTCTGATGCTCAGCCCTTCCCCAGGGTCTGACTTCTGAGCCATTTCCAGCACTGCCCTTATAAGGAGTGCTACTTGGAGCATCTGTGCACGGGTCCCTTTTTTCTTTTAGAATTACTTCTCAGAAGTGGTAGCTTTGGATCAAAAGATAGAAATAGTTTTTATGTTACCTGTTGCCAGATTGTTCTCCAGAAATATTCAAACCAATTTAAAACACCCACTCTCTTAAAACACTGAGGGACTTGTGTTTTAAGACTAATTTATTACTTAACCCCCAGGTTATTAAATAGTCATCATAAAGCATCTAGGAGTCAGACAGACTTGAATTTGAACCCAGTCCTGCTGAATGATAGTGCCAAACCTCAATTTTATTTTATTTATTTTAAACCTCAATTTTAATGAGATTTTCATATTATATTAATAAGATAAATCACATACTTGATGTCTAGCACATGGTAAATGCTCAATAAATGGTAACAACTGTGATTATCATCCATTCAGCTCTTGGCCTGGGGAAGAATCAGAAGAAGAGAGTTCCTTAGATAGTCCAGCTTGGCGTGGGTCAGGACCACTCTGGAAAATAAAGATGTACCCTGATTTTGACCTTTAGGCCTACAGGCTGATGCTCAAGATCCAACGTTCTCTTGGTGGATTGTCTTGGATGGGCTCCTTTTCTTATCTGCTATGGAGAGGGGGGAAAAAGGATGCTAACATGCAGGCTAGTCTCCTTCCGTGGCCTACCCCCACCACCTGCCAACCTCCTCTTCAATCTCTCCCAAGCAGTTCCTGCCTCATGCTGGGGACCGCATCTTGATCACAGGGGCAGCTGACTCCAAGGTGCATGTCCACGACCTGACCGTGAAGGAGACGATCCACATGTTTGGAGACCACACAAACCGGGTGAAACGCATCGCCACGGCCCCCATGTGGCCCAACACGTTCTGGAGCGCTGCTGAGGACGGGCTTATCCGGTGAGGGCCTGAGGCAGGGCGTGGGGCCGGGGCCTCCCCTGCTCCCGCTCCTTGTGGGTTCCCCCTCCCATCTGCCCTCCTGCTTCCTCCCACAGACCTGGCTCCTTCCCTCCAACAGAGGTCCAGCCTCAATGGTCTGCCCAGCCCAGTTATCAGGGAACAAATACAGTGGGAGCATTTGCTTACCCTGTTCTTCACTTCCCTCACTTCTTACCCTCTCCTGAGCTACACAAGCCCGCTGGCTTCCTCACCGCCTCACACGCACAGTCTGCCGCCTCTGGGCTTTCCCTGTGCTGTTCCCTCGACCTGGTTTTCTCAGTCCCGGCTCTCTCTCAACTCTCTCTTACCCTAAGGAGACTGCTTAAGAGTCACTTCCCGAGAAGCACCTTCCCTGGCCGTCCTCTCTACCAGAGACCTCCCACCATTGCTTTTTTGTCTCCGTGCCCTCACTGTATCCTCTGTAGCGCAAATCACCATCTGGAGTTACTTTATTTATTTGATGGTTCACTCTTTTGTCTGCGTCCCTCACTGAGGAGTAAACTCTGTCAACGTTTTTGTCTGTCCTGTCCTTGGTTGTGTCCCTAGAACCCAGCACAATGCCTGGCACACCGAGGCACATGACACATTTCCCTTGAACAGTCAGTCAGTGGACATATTCTTGGGAGGGGGATCACCAGCCAGAAATGGTTAAGTGGACTCTCCCCCTTTTCACTGACCTGTATCATCACACCTTTGCCTCGACTTCCCTTTTTCTTACAATGGTCTCATTGCCTTTGTTTAACTCCTTTCTTCAGATATAACCTGAGAACTTTTTCCCTCTCTCCACAATCTGCTTTAATTGTCTCCCTTGAGACCCCATGGGACTTTGTGCACGCTTCCTTTTTACAGAGGACAAGGGGTATCTCCGTCATGGATGAACCAGAACTCAGAACAGGTCGAGTCCGACCTCTGTCACTCAGTGTCCAGGCGAGTCACTTCACCCTCAGACCTGTTTCCTCATCTGTAACAAAAACCATATTTTAGGAAGAGCAATCTGGTGAGGATGGCTTAGAAAGATAAGCGAACAATGAAGAGATTATTGCAGGTGTTTAGGTGGAGGTGGGTGAGCACAGGGGTGATGCCTTTGCCATTTTCTGGATGTGCCTGCATCCTAGAAGCAAAACAGGTCCCTGACAGAAGTGTGCTCGTGCTGGGTGGATGTTTTGGCCTGACCTTTACCATTGGCTCAGATGGTGAAGAATCTGCCTGCAATGCGGGAGACCTGGGTTCAATCCCTGCTTTAGGAAGATCTCCTGGAGAAGGGAACGGCTCCCCACTCCAGTATTCTAGCCTGGAGAATTCCATGGACAGAGGAGCCTAGTAGTCTACAGTCCTTGGGGTCACAAAGAGTTGCACACAACTGAGCGACTTTCACTTTCACTTTACCATCTGAATGGGACTCGGGCTTGTTCTGGGTGTTGGCGTTTCTGGGAAGCTCGTAGATGATCTCCAGATTCTCTTTTCTGTCACCTCTGTACTTCTTTTGTTTCCTACAAGAAACTAGGTTAAGAATAGAATTAAGAATTAGAATCAAGAAGCAGAGCAGAGTGGTTAAAACGCAGTCTTCCCAGCTCTGCACCATCCCAGCACTGCACTTGCTGTGGTGTCATCCAGGCAAGTTATGGAACTTCTTTGAACTTCTAGTGGTACCTAGGGATGGTGTGAGAATTTAATTAGATAATACCTGTGTAACACTTGGGAGCAATACTGGACACCAAGCAATGTCTCATGAAGTGTTAGTAGTCAGTAGTAATAGTACTTAGTGGCAATAATATTGATATCTGTTAAAAAAATTAAAGGGTTCAGTAGTATCTACCTTAGGGAGTTCTGTTAGAATAAAAAGAATGTATGAGAAGCCTCCTACGGGTGCTTGGCACACAGGGCACTCAAGATACGGGAGTGGTTTTTGACATTCTTACTTACAAACAGATCCAGAACCCCTCCCAGATCCTTGGCACTCCAGGCCTTGGCTTCTCCCCTGCCTTCTGCCCACGGACACAACCCCCAACCAGCTGTGTCCTCTCTCACAGCCAGTATGACCTTCGGGAGAACAGCAAACACTCGGAGGTGCTGATCGACCTGACAGAGTACTGTGGCCAGCTGGTGGAGGCCAAGTGCCTCACCGTCAACCCCCAGGACAACAACTGCCTGGCCGTGGGGGCCAGCGGGCCCTTTGTGAGGCTCTATGACATTCGCATGATCCACAACCACAGGTAGGAATATGTGGCAAGTCCCTGGGAACCTGCTACCCCCTACCCTCATTTCCAGGCCCTCATCTCTTTGAGGTGGGTTTTTTTTCATTCTTTGATTTTTTAAAATAATTCAATCCATGCTTGTTTTTATGAAAAGTGTATTAAAGAAATTATTTTTACTCCATTACCTGAAAGAAATCACTGTGTATATTATCTTCTGTACATACATAGTGTACATAGTTACCATCTTATACATGTAAATTCCTTTATTTGTACATAGAATTTTACTTTATTCTTTTTTAAAAAATAAAGTATACTCAGAACCTCCACAGAAGGCCCAGACCTGCGCAGCTCTGCCAGTCTGAGTTTTCAGTGGGCTCCTGGGACATGTGTATGAATTTCTGGCCTGCATTACTTTCCTTTGTGGATTTGGACAACTGTTGTTACTCTTCACACACTACATGGCTTAGAGTGAGCCACGAGCTTTAGCTTCCTTATCTATGAAATGGGAGTAACAGAGTGGCCATGAACCAAAGACGGGAGGCAGGGCCACTGTGATGTGTCCACAGCTGTCTAGTTGATTGACTTTTGGGGGTGCTTAGGTCAGGAAGAAAGGTACCTCTTCCTCTATCTCTCCAGGGACACAAACGGGTTTTTCCCGAGGAAGTGTAGTCTAGCCAGGAGTCCCGATCAGTATTATAACCTATTTTGTTTGCCTTGCCACCAGAAAAAGCATGAAGCAGAGCCCTTCAGCAGGCGTGCACACCTTCTGTGACCGACAGAAGCCCCTCCCAGATGGCGCGGCTCAGTATTACGTAGCAGGTAGGGTGCTGATTGTCTCTGGAGCGGTGCAAGGAGGCAGTGGCGACCGAGAGTTGTACAGACCTGGATTTAATCCTGGTTACCATCCACCAGCTCTTATGTGACCTTTGGCAAATTTCTTACCCTGAAGGAATCTTAGTCTCTTTTCTGTAAAATGGGATTGTGATGACTCAGTGATATAGTGTATAAGAGTTGCCCCAGTAGGGGCCCCAGTAAGGGCTCAACACTTAGAGCTGCTTTTCTGAGGAAGATGATTGATCACTGGGAAGGCTGACTTCTCACCACTCCCTGCCCCTTTTGGGAGGGACTGGAAGCCTCACACTCAGGTAACTCTGTTCCCTGCAGGTCACCTGCCAGTGAAGCTGCCTGACTACAACAACCGTCTGAGGGTGCTGGTTGCCACCTATGTCACCTTCAGCCCCAACGGCACAGAGCTGCTGGTCAACATGGGGGGAGAGCAGGTATGGCTGCCGCCCAAGGTGGCTCCTCCCCTCCCCTGCCCCCACATCTGGCAGCCAGGGCTGTGTCCGCCGCATCCACTACCGTGAGGCAGATAAGAAGCCTCACTGTAAATGACGTTACTGTGAAATACAGAAATGCTATGGCACTGTTGGAATTCCCAGAGAACTACCCTGGCCTTGAGCGTAAGCCTTAGAACTGACAAACCTGTCTTCAGACGCTGGCCTTTTATTTATGAGCTGTGTGCTGTGACTTTGAACACCTGTCTTCATTTTCCTGAACCTTGGTTTCCTCATCTGCTGCTTTCCTAGGAGGAAATCCTGCAGCTCAGAGCCAGGGTGCAGTTCAGGGCCAGCTTTGGGAAGTATTCTTTGATAATGGCCAGTTGCTAAACCTTCTGTTCTCAGTCAGGTTGTTTAATAACCCTTGCATAAATTCATTTACTCTCCAAACACTCACTGAGTACTTACTCTGGGAGTAGCATTATCATAAACATGAGGGAGACAGGTGCAAAATATGATCCATGCTAGGTTGACGGGAGAGACATAGCAAGTGAAACAAACCATTGATGACATTTAAAGGCAAGGTGTGATACAGGCGAAATGGGATGTGGAGACTGGGTGAGCCCCCGAGTTCAGAAGAGGGCTCTGGATTCAGATTGCTGAGCCATCGCCTGGCTTAAAGGTAGTATAAGGATAAGTGAAGAGACAGGCTAACAGAGTGGTTCAGAGCCAGAGAGACTTGGTTTTGGGTGCTGGCTGTGCCACTTGCTGCTTTTATGGCCCTGGATAAATTAATTAAACTCTGAGCTGACATTTCTTCTTCTGGAAAGGTGGCTGATGATAATAGTACCTTTCTGTGGTACTAAAGATGGTACTCATTTTGTGGTACTCATTTCTAAGATGAAATGAGAAAAGTCATATAAAACACTTAACAGAGGAGCAAAGTTAGGATTCAATACATGTTAAGTAATAATAGATAATATTTACTGAGGGAAGTAACTAGCAATGTTACTTTGGGCAAATTGCTTCTCTTCTCTGAAAACTGAGGTTTTGGTTTTCCCATTTGTAACATGAAACCCCTGAGGCCCTTGTTGACCTAACACACATGTGATTCTAAGGAATGATAGTATTTCTCACCGTCTACTCCAAGGGCCGGGCGCTGGGAGGATTTTCCTGCCTGAGGTTTGCTCCATGAAGCACCCCGTCCTGGGTCACTTGGTGGATCCCTGCTCAACATTCAGCTACATTCCCGAGAGCTGCCCAGGCCTCACTCCTGGCCCGGCTACGTTCTTGCCTCACAGTGTCCGTCTTCTCTTGACCCCTGCATTCTAGGTCTATTTGTTTGACCTGACTTACAAGCAGCGGCCGTACACCTTCCTCTTGCCTAGAAAATGCCACTCCTCAGGGGGTAAGTTCTCCCTCCCCGGCTCCTTCAGGGCATCTCTGCTGGGGAACGTGAATGTGCGCTGCCTCTGCCGGGCAGCCTGCCCCTTACCTTGCGCTGTGGCTGTGATCCTCCAAGAAGGAGCAGGTTCTCTGAAATAGCACTGGAAGGGAATCCCAGGTCAGAGAGCGCTGTAAAAACAGGTTTGCCTCGCGGCCCTTTTCACTTCCCTCAGAAAAAGCAGGTTCTTTCCGTGGTTTGGCTCTTGAGGACCTGAAGTAGTTGTGCCATCCCCTGCCGTCCTAGACCAGTCTCCTCAGTGATTCTTCCTGGGGCCCCTCCTCACCCCCCCCCCCCCCACTTGTAGGCATCCCCACAGCCAGATAATGCCAAGTTGAAGCTATGTCCCTCTCCAGCCAGCAGAGGGCGCACAGGCTTTCTTTATGTGCTTGCCGGCCTGCCTGTCAGAACTTGCTTTCTGGGAGTGGACCTACCCTGGGAGGGATAGCCCTGCTGTGGAGCCGTCAGATCCCCAGATGGAAGCTGGAGGGCTGCTGAGGAGAAGTGAGGACCTCCTCCTAAGTTGTTGCTGTTCCTTTCTCACCACCCTCTGCCAGAAGTTCAGAATGGCAAGATGTCCACCAACGGTGTGTCCAATGGCGTCTCCAATGGCCTGCATCTTCACAGCAATGGCTTCCGGCTGCCAGAGACTAGGGGGCATGTCAGGTAAAGCCAGCCTGACTTGGGGCACAGAGGCTTCTGGAATGTGGCTAGTGGTCCCCATGCCACCTCTGCCTGGTGGGACCCCAGTCGTGCTACAGCTGAAGCTCTGGTCTCTTGGTGCCAGTAGCTGGGGTCAGGACCCAGGAGCTAGCTCCTCTTAGCCCTGGGCTCCCTCCTAAAGGGTCCTGCATAGACAGGCCTCCCCCGTTGTGTTTGCTCCATTCATAGCATCTTCACGCGTCTTTCACTGCCAGGCCCTGAGCTCAGCTTTGGATATAGAGGTGCCCAGGTCCTCTAACCCTTGAGAGAAACCTCTCTATAGAGAGATCGATGGGCGGGACTTGGGCGGTGACAAAGTTCGGCTCAGCATGGAGGCTGGAGGTGTCAGCTACTTTCATGCCCAGTTTGGTGAAGAATTCCTTTAAACCTGTCTGAGACAACTTCATTTCTGCCTCTCTTGGTTTTTTTCACTGGCACAGAGCATCTGGAATTGTGACCATTGACCTGCCACAGTTACTCAGGCCAAGGGTGGGAGTGGTGTCTCCTTTTAGATGACAGTGCAGACCTCAGGGACCAAGAAAACCTGAGAGGCCTCCAGGCAGGGTCACAGACATCCTGAGGGGCTGCTCTGCCCTTCCTTGGTTGGCCTGACACTCTGCTTCCCCCGCAGCCCCCAGGTAGAGCTGCCCCCATACCTGGAGCGGGTGAAACAGCAAGCCAATGAAGCTTTTGCCTGCCAGCAGTGGACCCAGGCCATTCAGCTTTACAGCAAGGCCGTGCAGAGGGCCCCTCACAATGCCATGCTCTACGGGAACCGAGCTGCTGCCTACATGAAGCGCAAGTGGTGAGTGGGCCTGATGGAACCAAGTTGCTGAGGCATCCAGGGACATTAGCAGTGGCATCCTGCTGCCCCTCAGGTCATGTTAGGCCCAGGCCTCTCATCAGCTCCTGGTTGGTGGTAGGCAGGTGCCTGACCTGTGAGTCAGGAAGCCTCAAACACCAGGAAAGCTCACAGTTAAGTGGAACATGTTCACAAGTAGCTTCGGCATGTTAGTGCTGTGGTTGCTGGAAGCAGGAATTGGGAGAGTGGTTAATCCCTGTCCTTGGAGAATGGGGCCTTGAATTTGACTTTTGAAGGAGCAGTAGAATCTTGCTAGATGGAAATGAGGCCCTGGTGAATTCAGTTGCTGTTTGAAGTAATTGTGCAGCGCCTTGACCTTGGGGTTTGCTGTCCTATGCTCTTGGACCCTTTGGACCAAGCACAAGCAGGATCCTAGACATCTGAAGCTGGCTGTGGGTCTTGCTGGGTGGTAGTGGCCAGTGGTAAGGGAGTAGGTCTATATCCTGAAGAACCCTTTATCTTTGGAGACCACCAGGGCCCCCAGCCCTTCTGCCTGCAGCACCAGCAGGCAAGCAGGCAGGCAGACCCCATCCCCCAGCCAGGGCCAGGATGGGAGATGGATAAAGCTGGGCCCACAGCCATTTCTGCTCCGTCTGGCATCCGTCGGCTCTGCCCAGACAGACAGGCCAGCTGGTGTGCCATCGTCTGGCTGCAACTCGGCAGGCCAGAGAGGGAAGCTTAAGAAACCCACCCAAGTCAGCAGGCTGGTGGATGGGGGTTTGGGAAGATGCTGCCCCCACAGGCCTTAGCTCAGACATCAGGAGTTGGCCAAGGGCTCAGATGGCAGCCAACCCCAGGAGATGACAGTTGGGGGCCCTCCTGAGGTGTGTTGCCCCTCTTTTCCAGCAGGTGGGTAGGAGGCAGTGGTCTTCACACAGGCTCTAGGCTGAGAGCGCTCTCACTCCTGCATTTTTGCTGAGAGAGACTGATGATTTCCCAATCCACAGTACCCTCAACATGTTCTCTGAATCCCTACTATGCACTGGGAACTAGAGACACAAAGTTCTGTCCCTCCGAGTTCCTGTGCTTCAGAGCGCCCAGCCTCTGGACAGGGGATAAAGAGATGGGCATGGTCCATCACTGAAGAGGCAGGAAGCAGTGAGTCTTTGAAGGGTCAGGTGAAGTGCCAGGGGCAGAGGAAAAGTCGGGTCACTGTACCTGGGGATCAGGGAGCTCCGAGAAGACGTGGTGTCTGCTTTCAGTGTGGGCAGGCTTAGACAGGAGAGGGAAGGGGGAGGGGCTGTGGGGGAGGGATATTCCTAGGAAGATGGAATGGTGTGAACAAAGGCGTGGGGGTGGCGGACTGACTGGAGAGCTTGTTTGCAGAACAACAAATCCATTTGGCTGGAGCAGAGGGCTCGGGAAGGGACTGGCAGGAGATGAGTCTGTGAGGTAGCCTGGGGCCAGCCTGGGAAGGACTTGGAATGCAGAGCGGTGGCGTTTTGGCCTCGATTCAGTGGATGATGGGCAGCTACTGAAGAGTTTCGAGCAGGAGAGGGAGGTGTTGAGGGCTGTCTTTTCAGGGAGATTGAGCTGGCAGCAAGTTCGGATGGGTGCGCCCTGGGGCCAGCCTGCTCTCTCCCCATCCCACGTGCCTGCCAGTGACCCTAGAATGTCACGTTCTGTCCGAGGCCAGTCTCCCCAGGGCGGCCATCTGCTCCTGGATGCGGTGGGAGCCGTCACCCTCTGGCTCCTGGCTGCTTTCTGGTCTGGCTCTCCCCGGGAGTTCTGAGGGGCACCTTGCAGGCGGTAATTGGGTTTCCAAACAGCGCCTGCTCCTCCGTCACAGCCACTCGTTCTGACGCAGGCCGCGCCATCGGAACACTCTGTCTCCTGCCTGCCTCCGCACTGCCGAGCCGCTTGTCCCTGGTCTGAGCAGGCTGCTCTGAGGACCAGTGCTCCCTCTGGGTGCTGTAGGAGGGAGGGTCAGGAGCACAGCTCCAGCGTCGGACCCACCCTGGCCCCCGTGCACAAGGGTTGTGAGCTGCACCTTGGTGGGGAGGCCATCAGCTCTTGGGGGGGCGGTGGGGGTGCTTCTTAACACAGGTGGGTCCTAGGCCTGCCTCACCCCAGCAGAGGGGAAAAAGGAGAAGCGGCTCCTGTGAGGCACCTGGCTCTCCAGTCGAGAGGTGGGGCGTCTGTGGACCTGGGCAGATGTGTATTCTATACTCCAGCACAGGGTGGGAGGAGGAAGGGCTTCTTCTCTGACCCTCCGCCCCCACCCCAAACCATTCCCACTTCCCCACATCCGTGCTTCGGGAGTTTGGAGAAGTTAGTTGGACAATTTGGAGCTCCTGTGGCCTATACCCGCCCCCACCCCCGCCATCCGCTTCCAGAAAAGTGACTGCCAGACTGTCGGGCCCCATCCTCCAGCCCCGGGAGGTAGAGGCCACAGCTGCTGTGGATCAGTCAGCCAGGACAGAGGGGGGCCTGGCTGAGGACTTGCTGCCTGCCGGTCAGACCCAGCCTGACACTTCTGGCTTCCCTGGACCACAGAACTGCCCTTGAGGGCCCCCTGCCTTAGACCTGGCTTTGAAGGCCAGCCGGGGGGATCTGAGGAGGTGGGTGGAGGAAGGGAGAAGGAGGGCCTGGGGAGCCTGAGGCGGGCAAGATGCCAGGCCTTCTGCTGCAGCGCTGCGGGTGCCTGGGGTGAGCGGGCGCACAGTTGCACTGTGTCCACCAGAGGGCAGCCTGACACTGGTTTTTGCCTCATGCCCACCTCCCACCCTCTACCTGCCAAGACCCCGGGCTTCCTGCCTTGCCTCCTAAACATACTCTGCCTCCTGGGGAGCAAGGCCTGGGCTGAGCCAGGATTCTTTCCATCCCCAAATACCCTTGCCCTGAGATCACTCAAAGGTGGGCTGGGGTGGCCACAGGATGCCACGAGACTGAATGGGGATGCCCTACCTGCCACGGGGCCCCACCTCCAAACCACACTGCCTGCCTTCCCAGGGATGGTGACCACTACGACGCCCTGAGGGACTGCCTCAAGGCCATCTCCCTAAATCCATGCCACCTGAAGGCGCACTTCCGCCTGGCCCGATGCCTCTTTGAGCTCAAGTACGTGGCTGAGGCCCTAGAGTGCCTGGATGATTTCAAAGGGAAGTTCCCGGAGCAGGCCCACAGCAGCGCCTGTGACGCATTGGGACGTGACATCACGGCCGCCCTCTTCTCCAAAAATGACGGTGGTGAGTAGAGTGCGCGCTGAGGAGGGGTTGCTGTCACTCTGCCTGTTGGAGGTGCCGCGTGACATCCTGGAGAGGACAGAAGTTCTGAGGCTGCAGAGGCCTGGGCTCACACTGACTGAGCACCACGTGACCTTGAGACAGTCACTTGGTCTCTTTGAGACAAGGGTTAGCAATAGCGTGTTTAAGGCACCCGGTGTAGTTCCCCCGGGCTCAGGATAGGAGTCATCCTCTCCTGTCATAGCCAGGGCTCTGGCCGTTCCGTTGGGATCCGAACTACAGCTAGTTGGCTAGAATGCACTTGCTCCAGATTGCATGGGTGCAGAAGAGACAGCACCCAGGGCAGCAGAAAGGCCTCAGACACAGGTATGGAGCCTCAGTTCCGATCTCAGCTCTGCCGTGTGGACCCATGCGACCTTGGGCAGAGCACAGCCTCTCCGAACCTGCTGGCTTATCTGTACAGGGTGTTGAAGGGCCCGCCCTGTTCCCCTGGGTGGCGCTGGAGAGTGAACCAGGTAACTGTGCAGGCTGCAACCAGGAGAGGGGAGCTCACTGTGGGCAGACTGCAGCTTCCTCCTCTGCTCTGCAGTGCACTGGACCGTGGATTGATCATTTGTCTGGATAGTGCCAGTCACTGTGCTATGTCCTGGGAATACATCTGGGAGCACGTCAGATGAATTTCTATATTCATGAGTCTATAGCCTGGTGAAGGAATCGAGCGATGAAGGAGCAGCAAAGAAGGCCCTTGGAGACCTGACAGGGTGCAAGTGCTGGGGGAGGGCTGGAAGGCAGCCTGAGGTTCTTGAGGAAGAGACATTCAGGCGGAGATCTTGAAGCTGAGGAAGAGGTGACTAGGTACAAAGTGTCGCCAGAGGTAAAGTGTTCTGGCAGAGGGACCAGCACGTGCCAAGGCCCTGAGGCAGGCAGGAACAAGGCACTGAGAGAACTGGTATGACTTTACCAAGGCACTTAAGCAGTCCGCTGGGATCCAGGCTGACTTGTCTTCTGGAGCAGGAGGGCTTGGACTTGACTGCCTTCAAAGCCATGAATCTATTTAGAAAAATCACCTGCTCAAGGCTCTCTTGGCAGCGCTTTGCCCTCCCCGCCCCACTGCTTACCTCCACAGCAACAGACCTTAGGGCCGTGCATCCTCGGGCCTTCCAGACATTATTCAGGGACCTAAGCCAAGGCCCTCCTGGCATCAGCAGTCTCCTCTTGAACACCCTCAAGAGCAGGATGCACAGATGCCTCTTTTTCACAGTTGTTCCCAGTTTTCCAGGGTAGGGGGAGAGGGATAGCTCTTCATGGCTTACCACTTGGACAGAGAACAGGGTGAAGGGTGGGGAGGAAATGGGGAGTGGGGGAGAGATGGGCAGGACTCTCATGGTCCCTGTTCTCTGCCCCAGAGGAGAAGAAGGGAGCAGGTGGTGGCGGCGGCCCTGTCCGCCTCCGCAGCATGAGCCGCAAGGACTCCATCTCTGAGGACGAGATGGTGCTGCGGGAGCGAAGCTACGACTACCAGTTCCGCTACTGTGGCCACTGCAACACCACCACGGATATCAAGGAGGCCAATTTCTTTGGCAGGTCCGAGGCCCTGAAGAGGAGGAGGGCCCAGCCCAGTTGGCCACAGGAGGTTGGGGGTGGTGTGGGGACCTAGGCTTTCAGAAGTCTCAAATCGCAGCTCCGTGCCCTTGGGCAGATGGCTTCACCTCTGTGAGCCACCATCACCCCCAGCCCTCCCCTGTAGATGATGTACTCTCTTGGATAGGTGAGATTCATGAATATGAATCAAGCATCTCCAGCAAGATCCCTTCTAAATATCAACAGTGTGTTGGGGGCAGGTGTGCTGTAGGATTTGGGGGTCTGGATCCAGAGAGGCTAGGACTACTGAGGAAAGGCTGAGGCAGGAGTGTTCCCAGAGACCCCCGAGAGGCAGGATCCGATCCTGGCACCCACGGGGCTTATAATGCACTTTGAGGGAGAGTAAGTTAGAGGGACCTAGGCTGTCTGTGACCCCAAGGTTAGGAGAACAGTTGGACAGTGACACGACTCTCCAGTGTGGAGAGGATTCTCGTGTGCATGGAAGTTCCAAGTCAGGTGAAGACCCCAGAATTCAGGGGGCCTGAGTGGCTCCAAGCTTCCCTGCTCCCCCTTTCCCTCAGCCATGCAGCCTGTGGGTCATACCCCCACCTGACCTCCCTGCCCTTTGCCCCCCGCCAGCAACGCTCAGTATATCGTCAGTGGCTCTGACGATGGCTCCTTCTTCGTCTGGGAAAAGGAGACCACCAACCTGGTCCGCGTGCTGCAGGGCGACGAATCCATCGTCAACTGCCTGCAGCCACACCCCAGCTACTGCTTCCTGGCCACCAGTGGTATTGACCCTGTAGTGCGGCTCTGGAACCCCCGACCAGAGGTGAGGGAGCGGGCAGGGTGGCAAAAGCCAGGTTGGGAGAAAAGAAGGTGGGTACCCTCTGCGAGGCCTCCAGCTGAGCTCGTGTGGGGCGGGAAGGGAAAGGAGTCACAGCCTCACGAGGCAAGGGGCTGCCAGGGGAGCTCTCTCCCCAGGGGTCCAAGCTGCGTCAGGGTGGGAGCCAGCGAGTTCTGAAAGCTCCAGATGAAGCGGGCAATTCCAGGGGCATATCCGTGAGCCAGGTGTGAAGGTGAGCCTCACACCCAGGAGGCAGTGACCCAGTAACTGGGACCGGGTAAGGGAGGGCAGGAGGTCGCCCACCCTGCCCCAACACCAGCTCCCGAGAACGGTGCTCCCCCCCCCCGCCCGGTGCCCTGTCCCTTGTGTCCCTCTGCGTCATGTCCCCCAGGAGCCCTGCAGAGGCCAGTGCCTCAGTCACATGGGCAGTGATGGGCCTCAGTTTGAATCCTGGTCCCTTCACTTAGGCCTGAGGGACTCAACCCAGGTTTTTATCTTCTGTATATTGGAATGGGCCTGACAGCACCACCTCAGAAGGTCGCTTTGAGGATTAAAGTAGTGATGCCTGTGATGTGTCTGGTCCACGGGGACACAGGGATGGTGTGGGCAGTCAGGTGGGCTGGCCTGAGGCCTCCCCTGCTCTCTGCCCACCTCCTCCCCCTTCCCAATTGCCTATACATTTTAAGACCTTTCCTTGAGTGGGGAGTGGCAACAAAAGAGTGGGGTGGGGGAGTTGTGTATACCCCCGGGGGGTATAGTATGTGTGCCCAGCAGGTCCTGGTGTGGGTCCACCCTCGCCTATGTCCGTGCATTCCCCCCGTCAGTTTCCAGTGTGGGGCCTACCAGAAGACACTCTGGTGTGTGTATTCCCCCCAGTATATATCCCACTGTGTATGACCATGTGCCCCCCCACCCCCAGTGTAATGCGTCATCCCCCTCACATGCATCCTGGTGTGTGTGTGTGTGTGTCTGTGCATCCGTCCATACATCCCAGGACACGTTGCCCTGCACCTGGGCACTCGCGGGTACACCCACACACACCCCTGGTATGTACACACCCCTGCACACGTGTCGCTCAGTCTGTGTGTGTGTTTCCGCTGCACACAGATCCCAGGAGTAAGTGTGCCTCCCCTGGCTCCCCTCCGCAGAGTGAAGACCTCACAGGCCGAGTTGTGGAGGACATGGAGGGCGCCTCCCAGGCCAACCAGCGGCGCATGAACGCGGACCCGTTGGAGGTGATGCTGCTCAACATGGGCTACCGGATCACAGGCCTGAGCAGTGGGGGTGCCGGGGCCTCTGATGACGAGGACAGCTCCGAGGGCCAGGTGCAGTGCCGGCCCAGCTAGACCCTCCTAGCCCCGGTCTCAGCCCCCGCTATCGGCTGGATCCTCTGCCCCGGGCAGGAGGTCAGGGGGTTCTGTTTTGGTTTGTCTTCCCCGTTCCCGCCCCCCTTTTTTTCTATTTTTCCCCGTTACGTTTGTTAGTTTGGCATTGTGGGTGGGGATTGCTACAACTTGCTGGCTTTTGGACTTTTGGGCAGTTGCCCCTTGACTGGCCCCAGACCTGAGCAGAGGAGCAGGAGGGGAAGCCCCTCCATCTCCCCCAACCCCCCTCCCCCCTCCATGTCCCTGAGGGCTCTGGCCTGCCTCAGGTGGGGAGGCCAGGGCTGCCGCTGTCGCTGTCTCCGGGGACTGCCCCACCCTTGGGCTGGCAGCAGGAGTGGGGTGGAATTGGACAGGTTGGCCTTGGCCTGTTAGCATTCTTGCTCTTGACGGGCGAGGCTGGCTCCCTCCTGGTCTTCAGGGAATGTTCTAGAAAAGGACAGGGTGCACCCCATCCCTGCAGAGCCACTGTGTCAGGGTGGAAACAGAAGTGAGGAGGGAGACCTGGAGAGGGCACGGTCAGGCCACTGCCTCCTCACAGCCCGGCGTCCTTTCCCTCTCCACCGCCCCCCCCCAGCCCCCGGCCCCGCTGGACCCCCCAAGCAAGGGTGCTGGGTCCTTAACTGCGCGGCCCGCCCTCACCGGCCCTCTGGGGGCTCAGCCTCTCCCATGGGCCCTGGCAGTGGGCGGGGGCACCACACCATTCCCCGCCCACCCGTGCCAGCCCTTCTGCACTCTGGGGGGGCCCCACTCCTCCCTTGGGCGCTCTCCGGCCTCACTGTGACCTTTCTGCCAGAGCTCCCAGCCAGGCCTCCTCTTGCTGAGATGGCACTCCCTCCCCCCCCACACGCTGAGCCGCCACAAAGACCAAAGAAGTGATGGCTTTTCTCTGCCCCCTGCTGCTCTGGGGGGAGGGGTGGGTCTCCTGAGCCCTGGGATGGAAAGTCCCTAACTCGGCCCGCTTCTCAGCAGCCCAGAGCTCTACACTGGATGCAGCGGTCACCCCAGCACCCCACCTCCTCCCTCCAGGCCTCTCCCTTGGCTCTCAGCTCAGGAGCTCTCCCAGTCGTTGGTTCCCCACCTCCCCATTCCCCTCGGCGCTCCCCGGGCTCCAGCCTCCAGCTGCAGCCTCCCTCCGCCCCGCTCCCTCCCTCCACCCTGTCTCTGCCAGGTGCCTCCTCTCAGTCAGGCTACAGAGAAGCCCTGGAGACAGCAGGGCCATGTTAAAAGCTTTTTCACAGTTTTAAGAAGATGGGGGTGGGGGTGGGGTGGTGAGGATAGTGGTGGGGGGTCTGGCACCATCTCGTCCGTCATTGCTTTAATCCCAGCGACACAGGTGGCAGCCTCTCCCCCTTCCTCTCCCCCCCATCACCCCCCCCACCACCCCTCTCTCCTAGCTTGGTAATGAAGTGTATTTATTGGTGAAGGAAACAGCTGCTGCTGCTTCTCCTGCTGCTGGGACTCGCTCCCCTGTCTCTTCTCCACGACCTTTCTCCAGCCGGGAGGGGAGAGCCGGAGCGCTGAGGCTGGGCCTGGGGCCCAAGGACTAGCAGGGGCCCCTTTGCTTTCCTGTGTTCCAGCCACCCGCCATTTCCTCCCTCCCTGCCTCCTGCCTGCCCAGCCTGGGCCCTGCCGTGTGGAGAGACACAGAAGCCTTACTGTCCTCTGGGGGCAGGAGCCGAGCCTTTTTGTTGCTCCGCTCCCAGGAGAGTGAGGGTGACGCAACTGATTAAAACCATTTTGTTCTAGGTGTGGCTGGTGGCATTTGTGGGTTGCCCATGGGTCTGGGGGAAAGGGAGAGGATGTCATCTCCGTAGCTCCATGACTCTTGAGTAACCACACCTCTGCCGGCTGGAATGAGTCTGGCCTTGGAGCATCTCTGTGGACCGTGGCCACCAGTCCAGCAGGACCAAGTGCAGAGCCTGGCCCTGATGGCTGTGATTTGCAATCATCAGCTTTCATTATCTGGGCTGTCTTCTCATCTGTAAAGTAAGGAGGGTGAACTCTTAGTGGTTTTTCAGACTTTTAAAATCACAACCCAAACAAATATACATCTTACATTGTGACCCAAGATACCCATGCTAATTCGTATGTATATAATGAACATAAGTTTTACACAATAAGACTAAGCCTTGCTACATGCAGTGTGTTCTAATCACCATTCTATTTTATGAAGGAGGAAAAAAAAATGCTGTCTATAACCCACTAAATTGATTTCAAAATCTGTTTTCTTGATGGGCCCTAGATTAGAGGATTTCTTAGACCAGAGGTTCCCAAACTTTCTCAGCTCACTGAACCATCAGTGCCTCAGTAGTTTTTATCTGGACCCCCTAAGCCAAAAGAAGTACCTAACATTTCAACATGTTAATTAAGCCAAGATGACTTAAGAATTTATGTCCTGGACTTCCTTGGTGGTCCAGTGGTTAAGAATCCGCCTGCCAATGCAGGGGACCTGGGTTCATTCCCTCTTCCGGGAAAATCCCACATGGATCCCTGGTATGGGAAGATCCCACAGGCCACGGAGCAGCTAAGCCCGTGCACAACTACTGAGCCCAACGAGCCACAACTGCTGAAGCCTGTGTGCCTAGAGCCTGTGCTCCACAAGAGAAGCCCCCGAGATGAGAACCCCGTGCAACCAAAAATAATAATCTTTTAAAAAAATTTTCATCCTACCAAGTTAGCCTTTAAAGAATACACAAAAGAAAAAAAAATTGAAAAAAAAATACATATCAGAAGAAACTCTATTTCCTTCTTAAAGACTACAGTAACTAATGGAATCCGTGTGCTTGTTAGGTACTGTAAAACTTGTCAGACTTTCTAATCAGACTGGACACCACCACCCTCATTTTGTGTTCCACAGTGACTTTCATTTACTTTGTATCTCAGCAAGCTCTAAAAACTCAGCTTCTGAAAGACGACGTAATCAAAGGAATGCCGTGGAGTCTAAGGATAAAAGTGAGCCACCCTGTGCTTGTCCTCACGGTAGCCAACAGATGCTAAGTAACTCAGAATTTAAAATACCCTTCTGTGCTCCTGTGACTTGACTGCGGCACCCTAAGGTGTCTTGATGCACAGTTTGGGAACTGTGGTTCAGTACTGTAGGAACAATAGTTTCACTAGTGAGATTTGGTGATTATTCTATTTGTACATTTGGAAAGAACCAGGCTGAGGCCAGCAGGGTATACTCAGTTTAGTACAGGAGACAGAAAGGGAAGAGATTCTGTCAGAAGCGCAATAGGTGATGTCATGAAGCAGGTGCTCATCATTCCTCTGTGTCCCCAAACTGACACTGCTTTAGGATGTTTGCAGACCATGCAGGGAAGGGGTGATATACCAGATCGAGGGATTAGGGCAGAGTCCCAGGTGCCCTCGTGGAGCCTGAGGGATTCAGTTCAGCCACATGGTAGAGGATGGAGTGGCCCATGGACTTCAGGGGCAGCCAAACTGTGGAGGACTCCCTGTGCTTGATGAGGGATTGTAGGCTTGGTCCTGCGAGCAGGGATTAGCCATTGGAAGACTTCTTCAGGAGCTCCATTTCATTTGGAATTGGTACATTTTTTTTAATAGACTTTTTTTTTAGAGCAGTTTAAGGCTTACAGAAAGTTAAAAAGATAATACAAAGTCCCATATACCCCCTCTCTCCCTGGCTCCATTTCCCCTTATTAACATCTTGCATCAGTGTACCTTTGTTACAATTAATGAACCAGTATTGATACATCATTAATAACTAAGGTCTGTAGCTTACATTGAGGTTCACTCTTAGTATTGTACAGTTTTATGGGTTTTGACATATGCATAATGTTCTGTATCCACTGTGGAAAATAGTTGCACTGCCATGAAAATCCCCTGTGCGCCACCTATTCAGTCCTTAGCAGCACAAAAAGAGAGAAAAAAAGTAAGTGCTAAGTACTTGTATACTTAGTACCTACTAAGTACCAGAAAAATATACACAAGATATTTATGAGGAAAACTATAAAACTGTGATGAGAGAAAACAAGAGAAATCAGAATATGTAAAGAGATATTCCATGCTCATGGATAGGAAGCCTCTATTATTAATAAAGATGTCATTTCTTCCCAACTTGGGCAATGAAATCTCAACCAAAATCCCAGCAAATTATTTCCTGACTATCCACAGGCTTATTCTAACGTTTGTATGGAGAAACAAAAGACCCAGAATAGTCAACACAGATTACAAAGAGAAAGAACAAAGTCAGAGGACTGACACTACCCAACCTCAAGACTTATCATAAAGCTACAATAACCAAGACAGTTTGGCATTTGCGAAGGAAAAGACAAATCAGTGGAATGATCTAGGGATCCCAAAAGTAGATCCACACAAATTTAGTCAACTGATCTCTGACAAAAGAGCAGAATCAACTCAATGGAGAAAGGAAAGCAACTTTTGCAACAAATGGTGCTGGAACAACTGGATATCTCCATGTGTGGCTGTATGCTGAGTCGCTTCAGTCCTGTCTGACTCTGCAACCCCATGGACTGTAGCCTACCAGGCTCCTCTGTCCATGGGATTCTCCAGGCAACAACACTGGAGTGGGTTGCCATGCCCTCCTCAAGGGATCTTCCCCTCCTAGGAATCGAACTCACATCTCTTGCATAGCCTGCAAGAGATGGGTGGTTCTTTACCACTAGAGCCACCTGGGAAGCCCAGACATCTACATGCCCCACCCCATCCCCCCAAAAAAGGATCTAAACACTGAGTACACTGTCCACAAAAATTAACTCATAATTGATCATAGGACTAAACGTAAAACAAATCCATAAAACTCAGAAGACCACATAGGAGAAGATCTGAGTTTGGCAACAGGTATTTAGATACAACATCGAAAGCACAACCCATGAAAGAAAAAATTGATAGACTGGACTTCATCAAAACTCCTGCTCTATGAAATCACTGTTAAGAGAATGAAAAAGACAAGCCAACAATTAAGAGAGAAGAATTTTTCC